CTCTCCTCCAAGGTCCTCCTCCGTTCCTCCTCACTTCGCAAGGTCTCCTTTGTCTTCTCCCTGTCAGACTGGCAGGCCTGTAACTGCTCTTTGACATCTTGGCAGTCCCTCTGTTCCACCTGTAGTGCTTCCTGACTCTGGGCCAGCTCCCTCCTGGCCCCCTGTAGATCTTGTTCCCTCTGCCCCAGCTGGTTGATACTTAGGCGGAGCTGCTGGCTCAGACTGCTGTTAGTGGCTTCTAGAACCCTTTTGGTGTGCTGGAGCTGCTGAGACACCTGCAGATCTGTTTGGCCATAAAGAGAGATTTGGAGGGCATCTTCAGCTGTGACCTGTTGCCCTGAGACTTCAATGTCATTTTTCTGCTTCTTACAACTTTTTGCTTATCGGGCTGAAACCTAAGATCTGACTGCCTAAAGCCTGAGGTACTGGATTAGGTGAGGACAGTTTAGAAAGACATATTGCTTTAAAACAGACCTGGCTGGAAACCAGACCGAAAGCTAAGGATGTGGTGGTAGTAGCTCCGGACCCTCCGGAGGAAGGGCAGCTTGTTGGGGAGAGTAAGGAAGAAAGTTGTTTCGGGTAAGTGGGAAATGGGGGCAGCCATACTCACAGCGCACTCCCAAGGAGATGGCAGCCATCCCTAACAGCAGGCAGGTGAGGAGCAGGCTCAGAAGGAGGTATTTGGACCAGGCTGCACAGCCTTAGGGAGACAGTGGGATGAGGGGCAGTTAGCCTCAAGAAAGAGTTTACAGACCGAAGGGGTGGGTGGGGAGATAAACGGAAAAGAGCCTCTCTCAGACGACGTGGTGCAGGCTTGGTGTTTTTTCTCCCGCAGGCAGTGAGTTTCCGCAGATAGCGGAGGGAAGGCGTTCCAGAATAAGGGCTGGGGATTGTTACTGGTAAGCAGGACTGAGGGCGCTACCTGGTAGGAGCGGGCACTAAATCTCAGACCGAGAAAGGGCGGGAGGTATGTGAATGCGGACCTTCGCCAGAGGCGAAAGGCGGAGAGGATCTGGGTCGACACGTTAGAAAGATGCACGTGAAGGTGGCCGGGGAGGGCGTCGCGGGGCTGCCCAGGTGGTCCGGGGGGGCTGCGCCCCAGGCTCACTCCCGGGACCTGACCTGCACACCGCACAGCCCAGCAACACCAGCGCCCGGCCGGGCGCCACCACGTCGCTCCGCGCCCACCCCCGCCCGGCCTCGCGGGCTTGGCAAAGAGAGCGAGGACGCCTACGCGCGCGGGGCCGGGAGGGCGCGGAACTCACAGCCCAGAAGCCTGCTGTCGGCTGGTGACGTCACGAAGCTCCAGGACGCTGTGGGCAGCTCCAAATGGACTCCTGCGCATGGCGAGAGAGTCCAATTCGAAGATGGAAAGCTCCGGGAAATGCCCCTTTCCCGCCCCACCCACCAACCCCGTCCACCGCGCTGAGATTCCAATGCCCCTCCTTGCCTTCTGCAAGTGTTCCGGGTTGACCTTAGCACTCTCCAGAGTTCCTCAGCTACCCAGGGACCCCCTCCTTGCCCTCCAGGGTCTCCCTTTATCTTTTCTGCAGGGTCCCTCTCTGTCTGCCCCAAACCCTCTCTTGGGAGTGCTCTCGCCCTCTCCCCGCTCCTGTGAGTCCTCATTTCCCATTCGAACTCATCTCCCACAGGGCTGCCCTCCCCAGTCCTGTCTCCCCACTGGGATCTTCACATTGCTTCTGGGAGCTTCGATTCTTCCCCTGGCTGCCAGTCCTCATTCTTCTCTTTCCTAAGAACCTCCCCACCCACCTCCTTTTCTCAAGAGTATTGCCCTCCTAAGAATACTGCCGACTCCCCAGCTCAAGACACAGCCCTCCACCCTCAACCCCTTCCCCGGAAATACACATCCCCTGGGCTCTTCATACTGGTTTTGTCTCCTAGTCCAGAGGCAGCCAAGCTCAAGGCTCCCCCTGAGATTGGGGGCACTTGCACATTCTCATAGGTGAGTTCCCCATCCTCATCAGCCTCTGGGTCTGGAGAGGAGAGAAAAGGGACCAAGATGGGGGTGGGGAATGGGGGTCTGTGGGGTGGGATCATGAAGGAGGATGGGGATGCAGAATCATGGTGATGCCTCATTCACCCTTACCCTTTCCTAACTGGCTGGAGATGTTCTTCTTCAGGGGAGCCTTCACAAATCGCAGGTCTGCGTAAGTGACAGCCTCGGCCATGGTCCTGGGCACCTCTGCCCCTCCCGTCTTCCCCTCTTCCAATGGCACCAAGCTTCCCTTGCTGCTCTCCCCTCTGTCCTTTTGTAACTTTAGGCTCTGTGTTCCCTCTGTGACTGTATGGCTTAGTGCTTTGCCCTGTGGCCTCCAGTCACAAAAGAGGAAGATGTGAGCAAGTCTCAGACAGATGGGTTCAGTGAAGCGGATGGTATCCCTGAGCACGAGCCAGAGGGTCAGGGGAAGGGAAACTAAGGTCCAGAGCAGGGGTATCAGGGCTGACGACCACTACTCAGGCTGGTCCCTGTGTCCTGCCTGTGCTCCACCTTCATGTATCCCAGACCCACTTTGGCAGTGCGAGGCTGCAAAGGCCCACCCTCCCGAGGCTCTGCTCAGATTTGCCCTATTGCTCCCCTCCTGGCTACCTGGTCTACAGGCTTTCTCTGTGTAGTCAGAGCTCTTTTGTGCCCAACTGACCCCAGATGATCTTACCAATCATTGCTTCAAGGTGGGGCTTCATCCTCCCAATCAGACTGAGGGATTCGAGTATGAGCCTTAGCTCCTGATCATCCTGGGTCTCCCAGCAGGTATGAATTCCCAGAAACGGGTTCCTTATTTTGTGAGCTCATCTTCCCATCAGTTTAGGAGCATTCAGGGTGGACCCGGCTTTTCTCCTGCTGTAGACCCACAGAGCTGCCGAGGAAGCCACGCACAGGGAGGATCTCACTCCAAAGCCCTCCTCGGGAACAATAGCCTTTGGAGGATGCCGAGCATCTGGTATCACATTGTTTCTCCTTTGTAAACACCCCCAGACTCCTCTTCACAGCCTTTCCCTGGCCTCTTTCACCCTTGTTGCCTTACTGATCACACCTGTGGCCAGTCATCCCCTTCCTGGTCCCATCTTGCCCCTTGCGGGACTCATGTCATCCCTTGTGTTGGATACAGCAAGCCCAGTCTAGGAGGCAGAGGCTCTGGGGTAGGCCTAGGCTGGGGGTGAGAATGAAAGCAACCCCAGCTTCTACACCTCTGGGAAAGCCTGCAGCACTGGCTACTCATGCACCCTTGTGGAGGGTCAGGGAGCAGGAAAGCAAAGGATTTGCATAGGGATGAAAAAGGGCTGCAGCTTCTTAGATGAGGGGAGGCAAAGAAACAAAGCAGGGCTGGGTGCTGAGCATGCAGATTCTGGACTAGCTGAGGTTTTGAAATTTTCTTGGCTTGGTTTTGGTTTCTTTCTTACTTTCCTAGTAAAGTTCTTCTTTTAAAAAGTCTCAACATTGTCCCTTACATCCCGCTCCGAAGAAAAAGGGGTATTTACGGGGAAAGACCAGAGGCTGAGAGGCCATCAACATGATGAGGGCCTGGCTGGCGGAAGGGAAAGAAACCAGGGGAGGAAGGAGGAGGCTGCTGAACAGTGGTTCAAAAGTGTTTCTGATGCTCTTTTACCAGGATGTGATCTAGAATGTGACCCCAAAAGGGCCTACTTCTGGGGGTAGAAAGAAGCTGGGTCGAGACAAGGTGTGGAGGCGGAAAAAACCCACCCCAAGTGGGTGACATCCGCCCCCTCAGAATCACCCCGCTGCAGCTGTGGGGAGGAAAAAGGAAGGGGAAAGAGGTCCTCACCACGTGCTAACAGCTTGTAGTGTATGATTAGTGGTGTGTAGAGGGGTGCTGTGATGAGCCTATGGGTCTGTCCAGAGCTCTCCCAACAGTGTCACCCAGCTTGCCCCAGGAAAAGTGCCCACTGAGGCGGAGCGCACATTGGTCACCTGAGGAATGTGTCTCAGGGAGAGGCAGGTGTATGTGGGTGTGTGAGAGCATCCCCAGGTCTTTGTGGTCTCTTAAGGGTGTCTGTGCGAGGTGAGCTTCTATGTCAAGTCCTGTCCAGAGGATTAAGCACACGGTGATAGCTGTTTTTTTTTTGGTTGTTTGTTTTCATGTCAGGGAATGACGGGCCATTTTCAGAAGTCTTGAAAGGTCAGGGGGACAGATTCTACAAATATTTCTCTTTTAAGGCTCACTGTTTTCTAAGGTGTCCCTGCAGCTGTTAACGGTCCCTACTTGATTAAAGTTTCCAGCAACCCACTCCCCTCCCCCCAAGCACCCATCAGGGCCCCTCCCAGATAGGAGAGAGTGCTGTGCCTTGGTGACTCCCTAGGGGCCTCAGGGGCCTGTGAGAGTGAGTGGGAGTGTATAATAAGCACAGCTGGTGGAGGGGGTGGGTGGGGGCAGTCAGGGTGCCTGTGTCTGTGGCATACAGGGAGTCGGGGCAGAGTATGTGTGTAAATCAATTGCTGGAACACTCACAGGAATGCTACAAACTATAGATAATGTCCCAGTTTTCAGAACCAAACACCAGTGAACATGGTTTGGATCCAGGTAAAATGCCAAAATACAGCTTCCAGTATGTGTGCACAAAAGAATCAGTGGGCATGCTGCCTAGCCTGACCCTTAAAGAGGCTTCAGAAGGGAGGGAGCCCAAAGGCACTGGGATGAGGCAGACTTCAAAGCCACAATGGCTTGGCTGTCTTAGGCAGGTTTGGCCTATATTTCTCTCCTCTTTAGCTCTTTTGGTGATGGTTACACCACCCCCTATGACAGTCTGCATTTCTTTCTGTCCTAGACCATCTTGTGGCCCTCCTTTGTGAATAGGGATGAGAACAGATCCTTCTCCTTCCCCATGTGTGTCACATGGAGTCTTTGCAATATTGATAGTCACGTTACCTCTCAAAACTGGACATCAGAAAGAATGCCTGTACCTGCAAGCTGCACTTCAACTGCCCAAACGTCAGAAATGCCTGGGGCTTTTAAGAGCTGTGGGGCCAGTGCTATATAGCTTTTCCGGGACCATAGTATCATCTGTGATCCCAGAGGACAAATGTCAAAGCCCATTTCTTGCCTCCTCCTGAACTCCACTGCTTGTTACAAGTTGTTAGGGTGTTAAGAGGAAGGGGCCCAACTATGAGGGCATCTAAAAAGAATTTGCTGTGTGGAAAGGGGCTCACCTGGATAAACTTCGGTGAATTCTAGTTAACATCAGGAAGTCAATGAAGTCTCCTGAAACCCTGAAAGTCAGGTTACATCTGTCTTTATTACCTTAACCCACTGGCTCTAGGAGACCCTAATCTACGGAGAGGGCATAGTAGGCAGAATAATGGCCTTCCCAAAAGGGTCACACTCAAATCTCCAGAACCTGTTAATATGTTACTTTACCTTATAAAAATGTAAATGTGATTAAGTGAAGGGCCTTTAAATGGGGGAGATTATTCCTGTTTTATCCTGGTAGGCCCCATCTAGTCACATGAGTCCTTGAAAGGGAGAAGAAACTCTTAGGACCATGGAAAGAGATTGTACCATGGAGGAGGGGCAGAGAAATGCAACTTGAGAAGGACTCCACCCAACTTGCTGGTTTTGAAGATGAAGGAAGGAACCATGAGCCAAGGAATGCAGGTAGCTTCTAGAAGCTGGAAAAGGCTTCTGGTGGCCACCTAGTATAAACGGATTCTTCCCTAGAGCCTACAGAAAGGAACCAGCCCTGCTGACACCTTGACTTTAGTCCCGTGAGACCTATGTCAGACATCTGACAAACAGAATTGTAAGTTGAGAAATTTGTGTTGTTTAAGCCACTAAATTTGTGGTATTTTGTTACAGCAGCAATAGGCAAGTTTCCCAAACTGTGGAAGAAGCGTAATATAATGGAAAGAACATGGTATTATGGATAAAGAAGCCAGCCCTGCCACAGTATGTGACTTTGGGCAAGTCATAGTTTCCTACCTAAAATATAGGATGATTTAGACAATGTCTCACATCAACCAAGGATATGTCTGGAGATGTAATAGGTGTAGATTTTAGCAAAAGCATCTTTAAAAATCTGTCAGTAGCTTCAGAGTCAGGAGGGAGAACCGTGAGCCATCTTATAACACAAAAGTGGATTCGCAGCTCTGATCCCTGAAGCCAGAGTGCCAGTAGTTCTCCCGTGACTTGCTCCAGACTTCTCCTTGGTCTTGTCTTGAATGGTGACACAGAAAGCATATTTATGGATTCTTTATGGCACAGAGCTATAAAGAAAAGCAAATGCACCGAAAGGAAGACTCAAGATTCAAACATTGAGGGAGAGCGAAATGATGGCTCCAAACCACAGAATGAAATGTAATAAAGATAAATAATAACAGCTAGAATTTATTGATAAATGGAATTTGGGGTTCAAACAATAAATTACAGAAGCATGGGATGGAGGGAGTCTGGCTTAACAATAGTTTATGTACAGAAGTTTGAGGGGAGGGTCAGTTATCAGGCATTTTGGAGCTTGAAGGAATCTTAGCCCAACCCTCTTAATGGACAAATTAGGAAATGGGTCTGTAGGCTGTAAGCTAATTTTTAACTAACCGTGTGACTAGGAGGGCTTGTGACAAAAGCCATCCCTTAGGACTATAGCTTCTTTACCAAGTGTCACGTGTTGTGCCAGCCACACCTCTAGCCCCTTTTAAAGGGGGCAAGCTCCTGCTGATGAGGCAACCCTAGCCCCCCAAAACTGTGTTATGTGACCCCCCAACCCCTGTGACCTCAGCCGATTGGGCAACAGACTCAAGGCTGTGTCCTATTTGTGGCATGGGATTATAAAATTTTCATTCTCAGGAATTTAAATGGGAAAATATGGAGATGACCACTCAGCAGTGGGAGCTAAAGGTGAAGTGTTGCATTGAGTCTATGTCAGTCCACAGAGTAGAGTCCTCCTTACTTAGCAATTGTGCCTGGCTCTGCCGTCTCACGCGTTCGGAGTGGAGTGATTATCTTGACAGGGATAATCAAACCTGATTATCATGAGAAGCTAGGGTTGCTGCTACATAATGGGAGCATGCCAGAGGATTCATGGATGCCTCTTGGTGGTCAGTGCCCAGTGATAAACTATCCACAAATGGGCACTGCGGCCACCATAGCCTGAAAAAGGCACAGCAATCAGATCTCAGGCTCCTTGGAAATAAAGGTCCAGATTACCCATGAGGCAAGCCATCTAGACCAGCATCTAGTGAGAGGATGGTAGAGGAGGAAAATGAAGAATCTCAGTTGCAGCCTTAGAACCAACCACAACAGTGGGGATTGTAGCTTGTCCCACTAACCCTCCTGGTGTAAGTTTTTATTCCTCTTCCTCCCCCTCCTCCTTTTTTAAGAAGCAGTAACAGCCTGAACTTAATGAGGGACACGAACAGATTTGAGCAATGCATAAGCAGACACCCAGTGCCTCAGCCGTCTTTGTCCTCTTGGACCTTACCATTTGGTGCACATCAGCCTGGCTTCCAAATGCCAATATCTTTGCCTGCAGCTTCTCTTTGGCAAGTGGCTGCGCCCCAATACATGGCCAGTCAAAAGTGGCCTCCTCCCAGAGTAGCTCTCAACCAATGACTGGTGGGAACTAGCATGAACACACCAGAAACCTTATCCCTAGAGTAGGAGCAGGGGGCTAACTCTGAGAGCACA